CTACATGCAAAACAACAGAACGTGGAACTCATTTAACCAAACATAATTCTCATTCAGCAAGGAATAACAAGTGTAATATCCACTAAAGCAAAGCTTAAGTATATAACACCAACACTGTCGACATACTGCCTCGTGGTCCGTGTTGTCCTCAGCAACGTACCCACTAAATGCTGCTTTAATAGCGGCCCTTGGATCTATCTTCAATCCAACGGCTGAGAATGTGTTTTCTCATCAGCTTAACCCTTTTAATTCTGGCCGCTGGTTTCGACTACAATTCAACGGCTCTGCTCGACCTGTTCTTTCAACTTCGCCCCTTTTGATTTTGACTGTTGATTTCGATCACGATCCAACGACCAGGGTTAATCAACCTTCGAGATTCTTTCACCTATAAATACGCCTCTTCGCCACTTTGTTCATGTTTCCCACCTTTGCAAAAATTCTTTTAAGATTATTTGTGCTCTCTCCATGTTGTGCAAATAAAAACCAAAGCTCCGTCGTGCTCCGCCGCGCTCAACCGATTTCTGCAGCTTCCCCAAGCTATCAACACCAAATTCAAGGATGAGTAAGCCATTTATATCTTTCACTTGTTAATCTTGCATGATTGATTAGGGTTCGCTTTTTATTTCTTCATCTAAAAAACTATCGGATTGCAAAATTCCTCTTGTTTCTGACTTTCTTCCAATTCCTAAATTTTCCATTTTATTTCTTTTGCTTTTCAGATATTCACACGTAAAACAAGGCCTAGGTTTTTCGGTGAGGATATGACCCTTCCTTCATCTTCTTCGACCTCTGGGCCTCTGTTCACTCTTTCTACCCCCTCCTCAGAGGTCATTCGCAACCAATCCATATTTTTTCGATCCCTGCTCCACCTTATCCAATCTCGCCGTTGTCTTCTCGGCTAACCGGTCTTTTCCCCTTGCATGTCCTTCTCGTGGACCCCTCAAATTGATCGATAAGCCTGATTCTGATGTGTACGAGTATCCCCCTGCTATTACACCTTTTTTCGAGAACAATGTCGAGTTAAGCCTTAGATTTCCTATTCTCCCACACCTCCTCGACCTGTGTGTGATTTTTGGTCTTCCACTTAATCTACTTCCTTCTAACTCCATCTGCCATCTTGCTTCCTTTTATATTCTTTCATTTTGTAGATTATGTCAAATTGACCTCGATTTCTTTTTTCTATTGTTATGTGGCCAAAGATCAGATAGAGGGGCCCTACCTCCAAAACTGCAATAAGGCCAAGTTTTTATCTGACATTCCTTCCAATGTCCCCAAATGGAAGTCAATTTTTTTTCTATATTCGACCT